CAGGAATGCTAAGCTAAGCTGATGTTGAAGGTTACTCATATTTGTAAAACACAGAAGCTATTGTCCAAGCACCATGCGTGGAGCAGCAAAAATCTCTCTCTCTTGAGAGGACTGGGGAAGGAAAATACTTTTTCAGTTGTAATACAAAGCAAAGTGGTGCCAATAGACATCAGCTCAACACCTGAGGAGGAAGAAGCAACAAGTAAATCAACATGCCAGAAAGACCCAAGATGAAGGGAATGGTATTTCTGCACAACTGAGCTGCAGTTTGGGGACATCCCCCTCAAACGGCAACACCCAGAAAGCCAGGGAGAATCCACTTGCAGCAAAGAAGAAATGGGGCATTTTACTTCCATGTCACTTGGGTTTGTACACTGTTCCCATTTGTGGGGCTGTGCTGACTGCCAAAGTTGCAGTACAAAGATTTATCATACCAAGGCAGTCACAGACAAGGCACTTCCCTCCAGCTGATGAAATGTGCCCTCCCTCCTTGCTCTCTCCACCCAATATTCCATATAAAGGCTGCAGACAAATTAATTTGGAGTATCAAATCAGGTCTGAGAGGTCTGAGGGGCAGCAGAGAACACTTACAAAAATTCTGGCAACTTCCTGACGTGAACGTTGATTTGCATCCGCTTGGCTGCCTGCAGGACAAGCCCTGTCAGCTGGGGAATAAAATAAATCAGTGTCAAAACAACAAAGAGTAAACACGAAACAAAGGGAACTGGGAGAATAAAACCTAAGATTTACACTGGTGTGGACTTCACAAGGCAAGACAAGATCAAATTATTGTTGTTATTTATTTTGCTTCACCAAGATATTCCTATAACTCATACACTTACATTCCAGTGGGTCTCTTACTTAAGGAGATGTGAGGAGGCTGTGACAGAGGGGAGGGTGCCACATGCTGTGCTGCACAAACCTACACTTAGGATCCAGAGAGATTCCCTTTCTTCCAGATCCAGATGTAGTTCTGGAAAAGGCCACCACCTACAGCTGTTTGCTCTGCTTTGTCTGTGGCAGAAACTCAGCAATCTCAGTCACAAGAGAAACCTGTCTTGCTAAAGGCTGAAAGGCAGGTGCTGAGCACAGGCCATGGGAGTGTGTGGCCAGAGAGATAATGAGCACGAGAAATGACAATTCTTCCACTGTAATGCCACCACCACAGTAGGAGTTGCAATTGGATGCACAGGAATGTTTTCCTCATTCCAGTAGCAAAATTTAGTCTGGAGAGTTGGCAAGAGGGGGGAAGTGCAGAGCCCGTTTTATAGTAGTACCAAAAAAACTGGAGAAGTAGGAGCAGGGAAAGAACCTGGCACCAAACCAGGTACCAGGAGGTATCTGCACTAGACCTGAAGAGAGGCATGATGCCACTGCCTCCTGCTTTAGCTACACATACCAGCTTGGTGAGTCAGAGTTCCATAAACTGGGCAGGTCATGGCTTTGGTCTTTCCCTTGACCACATGTGTGGATGTAGAGATCAGTGCTCTACTGGATTTTGCTGGGATAGAATTTTCTTCAGAGTAGCTGGTAACAGGTTACCTTTGGAACTGTGATGAAAAGAGTGCTGATAACACACAGATGTTTTAGCTGTTGCTGAGCAGTGCTTGCACAGCCTTGAGGCTGCTTCTCACACTGCCCTGCCAGTGAGTGGGCTGAGGGGTGGGAGGGGACACAGACAGGGCAGCTGACTCAAACTGGCCAAAGGGATATCCCATACCATGTGGCATCATGCTCAGAAATGAAAAACTAAAGGGGAAGTCTACCAGGGCTGCTGCTGCTGGAGGACTAGGATTTGTTTCTATCACTTGTTTTTCTTAGGTTTTGTTTCTCGTAGTTTCTTTTTCTCATGGGTTTTTTTTTTTTTGGTTGTTTTTTTTTTTAACTCACTAAAGCATCTTTATCAACCTGAGGTTTTTTTGTTAACCTGAGAGGTTTTTGTGGTGCTTTGCTGCCTACTGGGGTCAAACCACAAGTGCAAAACCACTGATCATCAGCTGCAAGTTCCCTTTCTTTCTGCCATTCCATGGTGTGAATCCCAGCAACTCTGTACATTTCCATGAAAGACACAATTCCCATGCTCCTGAATCTCTCCCCTCATGGCTCCATGCTATTTAAACTGAGTCCAGCATCCTCCAAATCTTTATTGATTTGCTGTCTTTAAAAAAGGCTGCACTTACAGGATTGATGTCCAAAAACGTCTCATGATATTCCTTTTTTGGATGCATGCCCTCTATGTCCTCTATAAACTTTGGATCTGCTTGGTAAAAATGTGGAGCTGATATGAATATTGGAGCACCTGGAATGTGAAAACATAACAAGTCATCACCTGAAAAACGCAGAGCAGGATTTAAGGAAATCTTTGAGGACCCCAAAATTCTTCCCAGTGTGCCATTTACAGCGAAAGGAAAAGTCCATTCTGGAGCTACAGAATCAACATTCTGACTCCCTGTCTCCAGAACAAGCAAATTCTCCCTGTGCAGCATCAGCATGGCTTCATGTCACAGGCTGGCATGCTTGCACTGCTTTGACTCAACTGCTCAGGTGCAACAGTTGCCTGGATAAGAGCACAGGATCAAGGCCCAAGCTGTTCAGTATGGATCCTGGTACTTCCCTCGGATTCCTCGATTTAAATCACAGCTGGAGCAGACAGCACCTGACAGGAACACCCCATCAACCACTGCTGCATTTTACAACCAGATGTTGGCAGCCGATTTCACTGAGCCCAGTCGTAACCCCGCAGGCCTCACCAAACTCTCCTCATGTATTTCAGACAGAAAGGAGAAACGTGTTCTCCACTGATGCCTGTTCCCACTGCCTGGTAACATACCCTGCTTGCAGATGCTGACGTTGAGGACCCCAGTGCCAGGGCAGTTCCCAGGGGGCACGCAGAACCCAGCGTTGTCGGGGTTGACCGTGGTGTTGGCAAACACCATAGCAGAGGGCACGAAGCGGTAGGTTGGGATGTTTGCAACAGTTCCTGAGCTGTCATACACCAGGTAGAGAGATCTGCAAGGCAGAAAAGCCAGGCCTGGGTTTGTTTGGCTGGAGTACACACCAACACCTGCAGCAGGTGCCTCTTTGCTGATGCCTGTTTGAGTTTACAGCCAGCTAGGGGCTTGGTTTAAGCTCATCCCAACAATCTTCTGTGTTAAATTTAATGGGCTTTTGATCAGCAGATATAACATCTTATAATTCTGCTGCTGCACCAAATATATGATCCTGTGCCAGCTGTGCTGCTGCAGGGACCCTGATGCTGGCCTTCAGCACTTCAGGGTGTCACTGTGGCCCCTATGTTGCTCTTGCATGTTGGGTGAGACAGAGCTGGTACATATGGAGAGGGTCAAGAGAAGGAACACAGTCATGGGAGACACAACTATCCAGCAAGTCCTAAATGTAGTGTAACACACATCTGTATTGATTTAAATAGAGAATTTCAGATCAGTTTTGTTCTTGACAGACAGTGAAACAGGCAGGGGAGGAGACAAGGTGGAACATAAAGAAGGAAACAAAGAATTTGTGCATCTTGTTGCATTTCAAACAGCATTTGTCATGTCATGAATCTCTGAGGAGGGCAATTCAGGTTCTCTAAACAGAAGGGCACAGAAATAAGCTTCAGGCAAGGTTCATATAAAACCTTCCATTCCCCCCATCACTAGTTTTGCAGGACAGTCTTTCTCTCTTTCCAGTCAGCTTCCAAATTTTTCACTTTATTTTGAAACACCACATCTTCAATTTGATACAGATTGAGTTGTGGGGTTTTTTTGGTGTAATGCCCTGATCCTTCATTCCATGAATAAGTGCAGACCACTCATGCTGTGTAAAATCGCAGGAGGAAAAACTCCAGCCTAGCATGAAACCTCAAGAGGAATGGACATAAATGCTGTGCTTTGAAAATTGAGTGACATTTTCCTCTCCTTACCTGCAGAAATCAGAAGAAAAGATGTAAATGTTCTCATCTTTGCTAATCAGTGGGTGAAAAGATGTCCCATCTGTTCCATTGATCATGTTACATGTCTCTGTTGTCCACCAGCTCAAAGACCTGAAGAAAACCAAGCAAAGAGAGTGAGGGAGCAGTGGTCGGGTGATGCCAGCTCATGGTCTAAGCAAATGAGAATCAGAACTGTAGAGTACCAAGTTCTCTTTGCCTAGGCTCCACCAACAAAAAAAAAAGGAGATTAAAATGGATTTAAATTGCATCTGTGGTCTCTTTAAACTGGTGCCAGGCAAACTGGAATATGTCTGCAGGAGTTCCTCCCATTTATGTAATTGCTGGCAGATGTTTTGTTTAGTGGGAGAGGGATGCTTCAGGTAGTTCACCAGGCACAAGATGTCCCAGCCTTGGCTCTGGGTGCAGAGCAGCACAGAAGGGTGGTGTCTGGGAACACTGGCTGTGTAGATGTGGGAATAGTGTCCCCTCAGGTGGCTGGGATAGCTGTCCTAGAGGAGGAATTGGAGAGAGGGTCTCCCCTGTGGAGGGGCAGTCAGGGATTCAGAGGTGAGGATTCCCACCAGTCTGCTTCTTCCTTTCATAGTTACGTGACAAAGACCAAAATTCTAAGGGGGGTGCTTCTAAAAAGCTGCTGCCACCCTTTTTTGGTAAACAACGCTCATCCAAGATGTGAAAAGGGGCAGATTTTGACACAGGCCACAGCATAGTGAAATACTTACTCTTTTCCTTTCCATTCCACAATCCTTGTGAAGTTAAGGTAGTCTGTTTCACCACTTAGGAAAACATACTCTCCATCATCAGTTCCATTCATCTGCAAACAGATCCACGAATTTTTAATCACTCCACTCATTCTCTAATGACCAGCTGGTAGCTACAACAGGGTGGCAGGAGGTTAATCTGTCATCACTTCAAATCCACCTGAGGAGATGGACTCCTCCTGAGGTAAGTGCAATTCATTAAACTCCACCTTGAATACAAATGAGGTAGAAGTGACTGGGCTAGATTGTCCAGGAAAGGAGTCCCCACAGCCCCAAATGACATGCAACCAGAAGCACTGTGGGAGTCAGTGGTGGCTCCAGCATAGCCATAATGTGCAACTTCAATCAATTACTGAGGAAACTGGTCAGGAAATTTGTCTAGTGGTCTGCACAAGTGGACTCAAAAAGCCCACGTTATTCAAGTGAGCCCAGGCAATAGCAAAGTGGTTTACATAGCTGAGAAAGGGAAGTCAGATAAAACACTCACAGCTGTGCTACCAGCCAGTGCCTCAGTACAGCCAAACTGAAGAGGGAGCATCCTAGGAAAATCCTATCCCTGCAGCCTACCTGCTGGCCTCAGTCCCAGCCCATCCACCTCACCTGGCTGCCAATGACAGCCCAAATCCTGCAGCAGTGTCATCCTTCCCCACCTGAAGCATCAGGAAGCCCTGCATGCCAGTTACCTTATTAAAGAGGCCAAACACTGGGTCGATCTCTGGACGCAGGAGATGAATGGTTGACAGGAGCTTGTCTTTGTAGCCCCATAGCAACTCATGAACGGTGTGAACTGTGAAGAGGGATTCTTGGTACAGAAGCAGCAGCACCTCGGTGGCAAATTGAAGAGAGGTTGACCTGGTCCACTCCATTGCAGTCTGCCAGGGATTGGGGTAAGGGAGCAACAGTCAGATTTACCGTAGAATAAATACTACCAGCTGCAGACAAACAGACCCATCTCAGCTCTGCACAGCCAGACCAGGGCACTAAGTGCCACATCCAGCCTTTCCTTCAACACACCACTTCCCTAGGAAGTCCATTCCTATGTCTAAACTCCCTCTCCATGAGGAAGTGCTTCCTGATATCCACCCTAAACCTCCCCTGGAGCAGCTTGAGGCCATGCAAAAATCACTTTCTCAATAGTCTGAATTTCTCAAGCATATTACAGCTGGAGGCATGCTATGAATTCCACCCTCTGGAAGTTGTGGTTTAAGTTTTCAAGAGAGAACCAAAATTTCTCCAAAACGCAAATTCACACTTTTACTTCACTGCCACTGATGAGTGATTTTACAACATGCCCTACACAGGGACAGGAGTTGGACTCAATGATCCTCATGGGTCCCTTCCAGCTCAGAATATTCTATGAGAAAAACAAAAATAAGGGAACATTCCTCGGGTGAACCAAGCTGTAGTTCTTCTAGTACTGCCTGTTGCAGTACATCACAGTCAAAAATCTGGACAAGGCATAATATTTACCATTACTCAAATGCCAAGGAGGAATTGTAAATACTGTGACTATATGATTTGCAACTCGTAGTAAGCTGAATCCTATCTACTACTGTGTACAGTGTATTTGTATTATGTATTCATTCATAAAACCAGACACTGCTTTTTGAAAGTAATGGGGGGAAAGCAGAAATTAATGTACCCTATAATTTCAGTCAGTTAAACTAGAACAGGGAGTAGAGGCTCAAATACACAGCAAACAAGTTTTTTAGTACAGTCTCATTCCTTTGGAAGGTGTGACAGCTTTAGATCTGCTTGTTCTCACACTGTCCCTGTCTCAGACCAAAAATAATGGTCTGCCTCTAACACCAAAGTGACACCTTTGCAGAGTACTTTCACCTAACATAGTATGAGGGGGGGTGCATGTTTTAATTTTAATTTTCTTCTGAGAGGACCTTTTCATTCAGATGTAGCTATATATATTTTTTCTCCAGTTTGAGATGCAGCCTTGGAGGCAGTTTCTGCAATTTTGACACAAACAACCCCAAGAATTCCAAACCTCCTCCATTCAAAAGTCAGAGTTCCTCCTATGCATTTGAGATCACTAATTCCCTACTTTCACTTACTCACAGAAGCCCAACAAGCCTTTTGTCTGCTCATCCCTGAACTGTGTGTCAGCTCTCAGCTCAAGAGGGAGGCACAAAGGCTAGGGAGGCACAGGGAGGTTGGAACCTGATGATCTTTAAAGTCCCTTCCAACCTTAACCATTCTATGACTCTGTAATTAAAAAACCCACAACAACCCAAACCAAAACTGAACATGGTATCTGCTCCAGACAAAAGCTGCCTCTCCCATTCTTCAATCATATTTATCTACCACAAGGGGACAGAGAGTCTGAAGCAACGAGCTGCTACTTATGAAGTGTGTTAGGATGATTTCCAGGCAGCAATGGAAGAGAACTCACCACTGCAGGGATATTAACTGTTCTAATCCGATCCACTTTGGGGTCTCCAACTGATTTCTGACGTTCAAACACGTAAGTCTTTGGATTCAGAGCAGACACTTTGGTGCCATTGTCCAAAAACTGAATGTGCACTCTTGGCCTGTATTCTCTGAAAAACAAGAGAGTTTGTTCTCTAATCAAGTTAAACAATTACACATAACATTAATTGCAATTCACTTCTGCCTATTCTACTGCTTTAAGCATATAAAGGGTGGGATGTACAGTTCATTAGGAGTAGATCCATTTTTGCTACTGATACTGTCAGCAACAGAACCCCCCTTTGTGTCAGTGTACACTGAACCAGACACCACAGGGTGCTTCCAAAAATTACACCCCACATATTAATTACACTTAATATTTTTTCACCTCATTTTTAAAAACCTTGAAGGAAAGAGAACAATTTCAGACAGAACAGGAGGATTTAGTCACTATATATGGGATTGTCCTTTAATGCAATTTGGAAATGAAACTTTTGCCTCTTTGCTGCTGGCAAAATTCACTCCCAGGCAGAACAAGACGTAGGTTTCATGTAAGTCTCATTAACCTGACCTGAGAACCTATCAGAATCTTTCTGCTGGCTTCAAAGTACTTTGCGCTCAAGACTTCTGGGCTTACATGTGACAGGGCCACAGAAAAGCCTCGTTTTAGCTCTTCCCCTTTAATTCTCAGGCAGGAATCCTGGACATGATGGAAATTCAACTGAATTTTTGCAGTGAACTCCTCATGGCTTGGGAGGTTGCTTCTGTTACTCTCTAAGCAGTCAGACAAGCAGCATAAAACTCAGGATTACTGATAAACAAGTGCAATGGGGGACAAGAAACATCAAATGCCACCTGATGAGGAAGTCAGACCTTAATGGTCCTGAAACACATCTAGGTGTTCTGCCATGTGTCAAACCAAAATGAGTCTTTAATGCTTTGCTACACGGGGTCTGTGAGACAGACTTAGTATTATCCTCTGGCTCCAGCATGCAGTATGTCTACAACATACCTCCCTTCTCCCTCTCCTCCCAGATGCTTCTTTTCCCCCACCCACTGCTGACAGTCTGGTACAGTCGGCCGTGATAGCTCAGCAAGGATTAAAGAACCTGCTGGGAAAGAGCCCTCCACTTTCTAACTCCTCTTCCTGCTATCAGAGCACAGCCCACATAATCCTGTTCAGACCTGTCAAGATCAGGCTCACCAAACAAGGCAGGAGCCAGTGGAAGATGCAGCACTGAAGGCACAGCTTCCCTCCCTGGCACCAGCAGGAGCAGCTCTGGCAGAGCCTGGGTGGCTGGTGGCTCAGCTCCCTCCCAGCCAGCCCCAGGCTGGGCCAGCCCTCCAGCCCAGCCCAAGCCAACCAGCCACACCAGCAGCCCTCTCCTTCCCACCCAGCTCTCTCATGGACAAGGTGCAGCTTCACAAACCAGGCTGTGCGCAACACCTGAAAGATACTCAGAGCTAAGAAAAGGGGGAAAAAGAGATGTCCAAGGGGACTGAGTCAGAAATCATGGGCCAGTGTGTTTTCATGGAGCCCTTTTACACCTAGAGCTGGACCTTTTTATCTTCCTGACAGAGAGCACGGACTGCTGATCATCAGCATTATACCACAGAGCCCTAAAGAGAAGCGAGGCAGCTTGGAAGCACAGCTGTCTGTTCTCCAGCTCTCCTGGCTTATCTACCACCAAGTAGTTTGCCAAAACACCACATGTGGTTTGCCAGAGCTGAGCAGACACAGCACAGAAATACAGAGGAGACTGTGAAAAGACTGATGGCAGAGAGTGAAGCAAAGCTGAGACCAAGGCTACCACAAAAGCTCTACGTTTATAACACAGTATTTTCTTTTGAAACACTAACAACCAGATTCTGATCACTTTGCAGCTGAGGGAGAGACAACTCCTGCAGGCACTGGGCCACTGTGAGCAGAAGTGAAACTGACAATGAGAAATCAACTTTTTTTGCCATGGTTCTCATACCTCCGTGACTTCGAAGACTGTAATGCTTCCTGGCACAGGACTGCTTCTGGTTTACACTGCTGCACACAGCAGAGCAGAATGAAGTTCTAAAGGAAAAGCCATTTCTAAGGGGAACATAAAATCTCTCCATGTGCAGCAGACTCAGCCTGTTCAGTGTGTAGCCATGTCATGCTGAAGGAGAGTTAAAGAGGCTGGCTAAGCTCCAACACTGCACATGGTCTTAGGAAGTTGGCTGTCTGCAAAAATGGTAGGCATGTCAGAATCTAAGTAGATTTATAGTGAGGGTTGGATGAGGAAGGTCCCTGTAGTAACCTCCTCTAACTGGTTTTCTGGCCACATTCTTACTGATGTGAACTGTGCAATTTCACCTGGGAACTAATTTCTGAGGGAACATGAATCATGCTTTTATGCAACACTCCTTGCCCCAGACTCTCAAACATCACCCAACCAGTCACTGTTTTCTTCTCTCACAAGGCAGTAGGCCAGGATGCAACCAACCTCCTCTGTGTTCAGCAGCTGATAAACACCAGCACACAAACAAAATCTTGCCCCAAATCTGATAGAAGTCACTGGCTTAATCTGAAACTGACTGCAGGTTTCTCCAGGTGTCACTCTAGTTGTGCTGTCTGGGTGGTGCATGCACCAAACTTTGATTCACACACTAACAGCTAGTTGTTTTTTTTTCTAGAATGGGCTCACAAGTGTTCTGGATTTCACTTTTTGGCTTCCTCACACACAAGAGTGAAATCTGAAGATAGTGAAAGTGTCCTACCGGTAGGTGTACGGCCCTATCTCCTCTACGAGAGGAGTAGCACCTTGAAGCACTTCCAAAGGATTTGTCACATTAAAAAAGTAGAACTGCATGTAGACTGGTGGAGGAGGATCCTCCCAGGCTTCAAAGGTTTCTGTGCCATTTTTCAATACTGTTCCCTGAAACAAGAGAAAGACAGATCAGCTGTTAATGAGAGATGCCGTGCAATATTTATAGGAAAGAGAGGAATTCTGTACCCTTGGAACAAGCAGAGGCAATGGGGTTTGAGCCCTCATGTCTACAGGTGTTTGTAGGTATTTTTTACTTGGAAGCATCTCATTAAATATCAACAAGAACAGACACATTACAATGACTTGTAGATGAGGGGCCTGTGTTCTTTGGGTTCCCTCCACACACCCCTTCTGCCTGGCATTGTTCAGAATTCCACAGCAATCCTGCTGCACTTCCTGTGTCAGCAAAAACCTCACCTGGTGTAAGATACCACAAAACATGCCAACACTGGAGATAAAAGTGGAACTCAACAATGGGAAGTCAAGAGGTCCCAAGAAAGACCTCTCAGGACTAACAAGGTCAGAAAAAAAGCTCAGAGCCCTTGTCTTTACCATTTCTTTGTCTAAGAATGTCAAGACTCCAGGACAGCTGTAAGACTCTGTCTCCAAAGGAGTTAGGCTTTGTTTTTCAGTGGCCTGTGAGGACAACATGCAAGTGACAGAAAGTTCTCTCATGTAGGCATACTGGGATCTGTGCCTTTCTGAAGTCTCTGACCAAAGATTCTTCACCCCGTCTTTATTTTCCTACACATGTCAGTCCATTTTGTAACCAATAAAACACGGACCTAGAAAATAAAAGCTATAAATCATTATTTTATGACAGAAGCACTTAAGTAATGAGCCAGTAATTCCACAACCTACCAGTATCAACACATTAGAAGGGAAGTCACAACCATACCTGTATGTAGCTGCATTAGAAACATAGAATATATGTCTCAATCCCTCATTTTATTACCATTCTATTTTTAGGTAAAATTCACCCCAACTGTAAAAGCATCACCACCAACACCACCAAAATCAAGGCTTTTCATATAACACTGGTACCACTACTGTGAGAGTAAAGAGAAAGCTGGCTTGCAAACTGTCATTTTCAGGAAAAAGCACAAAGAAAACGGTATCTTTGAAAACCCTGTCACTTGTAGGTAGGGGAGGGGGGAAATAATTTGCAACTAAATGGGTCTCATCTACACTTGCTCTTTTTATTCTTCTGAGAAAACAAGTCAAATATTGTAAGTGCAAGCTCAAAAGCAGGGCAGACTGGACAGCTGCCATTTCTTGGGTACTGTTCATGGTGTCTTAACTTTAGCAGCCACAGTTTTCTTCCAACTCACTCTTGGCCTTCCCACTTCAGGAGCTGTTTTCCCTCCCTGTAGATTTTAATTTTGAATGATTAGATGAAGAGAAGACTGTTTCAAAGAAAAGCTTATTGGCAGGAGCTTGGAATGGCAGCAGCATTGCTGAATAGCAATGAAAGCCAACCCAGCTGGGAGCACCCTGCAGAATTTCAAATCCCATATTCTGTTCACATCACAAAAAATCATCTGTTTTAGACATGCTTCAGGAGCTTGGTGCATTTCTCTGCAACCACCAGCACCTTGCAGGTACCATTTTAGACGCGGCCCAACACTTTAGATCCTGTTTTCTTGTCATCTATGAAAGGAGGCTGATCCCTGCATTCAGGCAGAGCCCTCCTGAAGTTGGGTTTGTAGGATGAGGAACAGAAAATCTCCCTGAGTCAGGCACACCTTTTCACTGAGGCCATCATAAAGGGCTGGGAGTGAGACAGCAGTGCATTTGGGACACCTTCAGGTGACCATGACAGCTCTTCTCCATATGCAATTAATCACAATACAAAGTCAAATTATTTCAGAGAAGGTGGTGTAGCGAACTATTGATGTCTGCTCCCTTCCTAAGACATATAAAACTCACATCTCTCACATGCATGAAACACAGTAAGTGCAAGCTTGGCACTGATAAACAGCTTAACCATTGCCTGTCTTGACCTTAACCATCCATACCTGAATCTGAACTGCTCCCTAACAACTACAAAGCATTTTCAGTACACCTATCTCTTGCTCAAATGTCTCTCATATTCAGGGCAACTAAAATGAGAGACTAATACTCAGTCAAAGTGTGCAATGTTAAAAAAAAAAAAAGTAACTGCACTGTGGTCATATTCATGCCAGTTTCAGGCTCTAGTCCGTCCTTTCTGACAGAAGGATCACATCTATGATATGTCATGTCCCCTGTCTCCCTCTCCTGAGCTAAACCAAAACCAGGAAGTTCCCAAATTTGATGCAGTGTTGCTAGACATAACACAGGTTTCTACCACACTCTCTATATACACATCTGCACCAAATTACAGGCAAAGATTGACAAAAAAGAAATGAAGGAGCTTTGCTCAGGCAGGTTGGTTTATGTACAGGCCCTTGAGACTTTGAAATCACAAGTGATCCCCTGGGAAATGGGCTACAGAGCAAAAGGGTAGTGAAACCAAATCATCTGGTGACTTTTTTTCCTGGACCTGCATGACACCATTTGTATTTCCCATAGAAATGACATGTCTATTTATAGCTCTGTGCAGTGACAGCCCTAGTTGTAAACCCAGATTAATTAACTTCTGGACTGGATTTAGACAGACTCCCATGAAACTCTCAAATAACAGAATACAGTTAGGTTCATTTTTTCTCTTTTTCACCAAATGTTACCAGGGCTGTCACATGATATTACACAGCCTGGACCTGAGAGAAAAATATAAGCAGGTATTTTTTGATCAAAACATATGTCCACGTCCCTCAGCTGATGGTATTCAAGTTTAGCTCTCATGACCTTCCCCTTCACCAAGCAAGACCTGACATTACAAGACTGGGACGGCCTGGTTTGTTGCCAGAGCTTGTGTTCCCTGCTAGGTTGGGCAGGCTTTGAGATACTAGCTCATTGCACTGCTCTTTAATCTAAGATATGTGAAAGAAACAGCTCCACTCAATTACTGCTGCTGCACTGGGTAAGGCTTGAGAATGAGATGCTTCCTCTTGATACATGTACATGCAAGAACAAGAGACACAACTTCAACTCCTCAGAAAACACCAGTCAGACTCTGGTCCTGCAGGCTGCAGCCTAGAGAGGCCTCAGGCTCACAGATCCTGTCTCAGAGATGCAAGGTTGCAAATCCTCCAAGATCCCACCCTCAAACCAGTAAACAATGTGATCTGTCTCCGCGCAGCAGCAGAGCAAGGGTTCTCCTTCCCTTGTGGAGTCCACACCCGTTTCAAGTGTACCAAAGCTTACTTCCCACTGACTTTATCATGCCAGTCCTGCCTTTGCAGCTGTCTCATTCTTTACTGTTTTCTTGCCTTGGCCACACTTCACACAACGGAAATGTTAACTGTTTCTGGCAGTGATGGTGGGGGTGGGAAATGCTACTAAGCATTTTTTGAATCTTAAATTTGGAAAATTAAATTTCTTTTTTTTTTTTTTTTTTTTTTTTTTTCCCCAGAAGCTGCAAAATGTTCTAATTCCAAGACATTTTTACGTGTTCATCTATGAACTTTGCAACAAGACAAGTGATAGGGTAGGCTTTCTGACCAACATGAGCAAACTTCTCTGCCCCTGCCCCTTGGGAATCGTCTGCTCAAAAGGAGCATCTCAACTGATACTTCACCTAAACCCCCCACAAAACTGTGCTGAGGGCTCTAAGTATTCCACAACAACAACAAAAGATCAAAACATAAACTAAGTGAAGGGACAAAATATCTTCCCTGTCCTTTAGGGTCCTAAACACTCCAATCAATCCAGCTCTAGAGATGGCTGGCAACAAAAGTCCAGTGAAATTTCATGGGTTTATGAATTTTCTAAAATTACCACTGTAAGGTAGGGGGCATAAAGAAAACACTTGAGGGAGAGGACTGATTGCCCAAATTTGGAATTAGGTGCATAGATCAAGGGCTGCTTTTTCATAAACTGCAGGCTTATGGCAATAAAATACATAACCATATAGCCAACATACAGTGTGAGGTGAACACTGCCAGCAGTTTGGAAGACCTCTATCCTGTAGGCAGCTAATTTTTCTTTTCCATTGCAGTTTTTTTGCCCTTATGGGATGGAGCCTAAGGTGCTAGCCCCTGACAACAAACAGGTACTGACTAAGTTAGACAGTCTGATCAGGCATGGCATGTTAATTCACACAAAGTCTGGGAAATAAGACAGAGTGTAAGTTGACAGGATATGAACACTTCCCAGGAAAGGTGCTTCTGTTGTCCTTGTCCCTACAACATCTGCCTGCTGATTTTCAAGGGGATGTGAAGTCTCCAGCCTGGAGTTCTCCCAGGCCTGCTGCATTCCCCACTCTGCCCACACACCCTCTGAATCCAAGAACTCTGCCTTTGGCTGGCAAGCATGCAGCTTTCCTACTGAAAGCCATCCTCAGTGGTTCACAGGTCCGAGTTTGGACACACAGGTGCTTTAGATGCACCAAAACGCAGCCTTTCATTTCAGCTGTATCTGATACTGCAAAGACAGCTCCTCACTGCAAGGCAACTCTGTTTCAGGCCTGTTGCAAAGCCCTCAAAGGAGTATGGACTACCCGTCTTAAGGGCAGCCTCCTGCCCCTTCTGCAGCTCTTCCAGTGACAGCAAGGTTCAGGAGGTTAAGGAAAGGCCAGAGCACAGAGACATTTCATGTCAAATGCCCTGGACCACAGAGAGCTGGAAAAGCTCTAGTCTTGCCACATTCCAAAGGCAAATTGAAATTTGTCTATTTGCACAAGCTATTCTAAGCTGCATCCGTGGTTACACAAGAGAGGAGCAACTTTCTAGACTACACACAAATGACAAGAAGCTCACATGGGACCAAGCATGTGTGGAAAGCAGCTGAATCAGCAGAGTGAATGGGAGTACACTGCTCTGGAGCCAAAAACTGTCCTCCCACAGTTGGTGCATGTGGCTCCTGGAGAAGGCCAGGAGGGAGACAATGGCTGGCACGAGGAGCAGGACACTTGATCCTGTGCCATATAGATGTACACCAGCACAAGCTGAGGAGCAGTAAGCAGGAAAACACAGCCCTGGAAACCTTATCCTGCTTGAGGGAATACCAACTCACTCTTACATAAT